ATAATCTTTTAACAGATATTCAATGTGGTTTTAGAAAAATAGAAGTACCGTTGACCATTTGGTTAGACTGGAAACATTTGTGAAAAATGCTTTAATTAATAAACAACATGCTGTATCAATATTTTTCGATTTAGAAAAAGCGTATGATACCACCTGGAAACATGGAATTTTAAAGGATCTTTATGAAATGGGATTGAGAGGGCGTTTGCCTAATTTTGTATCTCAGTTTACAGATAGACAGATATAACAGATAGAAATTTCAAGGTCCGTGTGGGATCCACCATGTCTGATTTTTACGATCAAGATCAAGGTGTCCCACAAGGTAGCATATTATCAGTAACGTTGTTTAGCATAAAAATAAATAGTTTATCCAAGGTTTTAAATGACTTTGTTGACGGGTCTTTGTTCGTTGATGATTTTAATGTATCATGTCGAGGTAAAATTATGCACACGATTGAGAGACAATTGCAACTTTGTCTGAATACAATCAATAATTGGACAGAGGAGAACGGATTTAAGTTTTCTAAATCTAAAACAAATTGCATTCATTTCTGTCGAAAATATAAACCACATAGGGACCCTGATTTACATCTAGCTGGAACTCCAATTAAAGTTGTAAAAGAAGCTAAATTTTTAGGAATAATTTTTTATTTTTTCACCTTACTTTTTTACCACATATTAAATATTTGAAAGCTAAATGTCTGAAGGCACTAGACTTATTAAAGTTTTTTTCTAATTCCAAGTTGGGAGGAGATCAAACGACCCTCTTTCACTTATATAGATCTCTTGTCCGTTCTCCCTTTCGACTGCTTTCTTCTTCTCCTTGGCAGTTGGTAAAGCCAAAGGTGGATCTTACCTTATCTAAACTAAAGAAATCTGAAACTAATCAACTACAATATCAACAAGAATACAATCAGTTACGTAGTGAATATGATACTTAAAAAATCTATTTTTACTGATGGATCCAAGGATGGTGATGCTGTTGCCACCGCCACTATCATTGGATCCAGAACTTTTTCAACTCGATTACCTATTACCCAATAACTCATCCATTTTCACAGCTGAATCAAAGGCCTTTTTAACTGCTTTAGAATATATTAATAAACAGAATAAACATAAGGAATTCATTATTTGTTCAGACTCTCTCTCCTGTCTTCAGGCTATTAAAAATACTTCGTGTCAGCATCCATTTTACTTGACATCATAGAACTACATAATAACCTTGCTACTGGCCAACATGACATCGTCTTTTGTTGGTTACCAAGCCATGTTGGAATTGTTGGTAATACAATGGCTGATGCTGCTGCTAAGGCAGCTTTCAGCAAATCTGTGACACCACTTCCTATACCCTACAGTGATTATCAACCTGTCATTAGATGTTTCATCAGAGAACTAATGCAGAAGAAGTGGTACACCCAAGTGGGTATAAACAAATTACATGCAATAAAAGCAAATATCGGTTATACCTACTTGGGTTGTCAGTCCAGATTTGAAGAGGTCATTGAAGGAGTCAGGCGATGTCGTATCTGCCATTCACGTTATACTCATGAATATATTCTAAAAGGTGAGGATCCTCCATTCTGCATCCCTTGTGATGAAAGAATCACTGTCAAGCATGTCCTGCTTGATTGTGTTGATTTTTCCATCACAAGGGATAAATATTTCAAGGTTTCATCGCTCAAAGATCTTTTTAACATAAACTTTCATTTAATTATTGGATTTTTAAAAGAAATTGAATTAATTAATAAATTTTGATGTAGAAAGTTATATATTTTATAAATTGGTAGTATATAATTACGAACTGAGATTGTTAGTGGTTGTACCCTTGATGGGGGTTGAAGTAGCGTAAAATTATTGTCCCCCAGAGAGGGTGCGTAAGCCCACTTCATTCAAAGTATTTTATATATACCAGGTTTTTAATCGTAGAATAATTGTTTGTTTTAATTTTGGCTAAATTTTTCCATAATCACCAGTAACTGAAGGGATAGTGTAAATCCTGCCGGGGTCCATGCAGGTAGCAAAGGTACTGTAAGTCCCCATGGTCCCTGGTATGGTGGCCTAACTTTAGCTGTTGGTGATCAATAGCCTGTTTTTATAATGTGTCGTCTGTAATAATCCAATCATTTTATTGTTCTAAAACTAGTGTCAAAGTTATAATCTGTTATATTTTGCTACGCTCGTAGTTGTTGTACTGTCCTTTGACGACAGTTTTTTAATATATGCTATAACTTGTTCAAGTTACAATATGGCTGAAATATTGCAGATGTGACTTTAAATATTAACTCACTCACTCCCACCCATACCATAATGCTGCCGCCCCCGAACCGATCTGCTTCAATGACACAATGATTGACGTAACGTTCACCTCGACGTCGGTACACTCGAATCCGTTCATCGCTGTGGCTGAGGTGAAAACGATACTCGTTAGTGAATAGAACTTGTCCCCATTGCATGGCCGTCCAGCGTAGACGCTGTCTGCACCACTGTAGACGTGCTTGACGGTGGTTTCCTGTCAAAATGAGACGTCTGGTGGGTCTTCTGGCGACAATCCCTGTACATCTGAGGCGACGACGTACGGTTTGTGAAGATATTCGTCGAAGGCCAGGGATGCTTCTTGCAGTCTTTGTTGCTGGCTGGAATCGATTTCGTAGGTGTGTTGTTCGAATCCAGTTGTCTTTTATTGGTTACGCGTGGCCTGCCACTCCGAGGAAGGCCTCTGACTGCATTCGTCTGTTGCCAACATTGCCATAAACACCAAATCGTGTTTCTGTGGACGTTAAGTTGTCTTGCAACATCACGTTGACTCGATCCTGCTTCAAGCATACCAATGGCTCACAGATGCTCATTTTCGGACAGGCGTGGCATTTCGTAATGTTGAATAATTGTGGTTGTTGTCAGCAAGATGCTAAGCAATGTATATGGAATCCCGTTAACCCACATGTTTGTATACCCATTCTTTGATAGTGAAGTGCATGGGGCTTGCATAAAAGTCAACTTTAGCATGGAATGCATGCTTTTCTGTAGCAGTTGCGTTTTTGTGACTTGATTCCATACATGTACTACAATATTGAAAACTAAACTTTACTTGTTTGAAAAATACACTAAAATATTGGTGTCACAGGAACTTTTGTTGTTGAGTATAGATAGCTCAATCAGAGACCGTTTCACAAAATCAACATCCACGACTGGTACACCTTCGTATGAAAGTGATTTACCGCTGCCTGTCTTAGTTGACACGAATATGTCTTTTTCATCTTTTAAAACCCCCATCGATTGCCTATGTTTTGTGTCAGGGATGAAATAGCGAATGTTGTCGTTATCTGGTCGTCTATGGTAGTCGCCATTTTTGTGAAGCTAAACGAGATATGAACAGCGATCTGATTGGATATCGCGTTTTCATTACAAGGGGCACAACTCTTGATCTACTTGAGGTGGCGCCAGGGTCGAGCCAAGAAAAGTGGCCTTGATGTGGCAAAGGTAGAAACTAGGCTTTGATATGGGCTTATGGACACGCTTGCCTCGGGGAGAGGGCGGGTAGGCGAGTATCAACATCTACTTCCATCAAATATGATTTGGGCTATATAGCGATGCATTCCTGGGAAAACCAAGTTCAAAGAAAATATCGAAAAAAGAAAACAACCCGGAATTGTAGATACACATTTTGTATTAAACAAAGAAGAAATGGTTATTCGATGGTAATGGTTTTGGTACGGTTATCATAGTTTTGTTTTGGACTGATTTTACCCTATTTATCTTATGATAACTTTTGTAATTTGTTTTTGTATACTTTTTTTTGTCCTGCAGTTTACTTCACATGTTGGTTTGACCAATTATGATTAGACTGACGGTAATATCTGAAACTCGACATTTAGTTATTTTTATAAAAAAAAGAAAAATCATGATAGAAATAAGTTTGGTCACGTGGTGCTTCAGATTCCTTAAGTATTACTTGACTACGTTCATCTTGCAGAGGGGCGGTGGTGTAGCCTAGTGGGTAAAGCGGTCGTTCTTCGCCGAAGACCCGGGTTAGAATAGGTCTTCAGCAACCCACGCTTGCCGTAAAAGGCGACTATTCTTGTTAGCGGCGACTAACGGGATCGGGTGGTCAGGCTCTCTGACTTGGTTGATGCATGTCAGTGTTACCCTATTGCGTGGATCGATGCTCATGATGTCAATCACTGGGTTGTCAGGTCTAGACTCGATTATTTAAAGACAACCGCCATATAGCTGGAATATTGCTGCAGCGTTCAACAAATAGACCCCAACAAAGGCCACAAGTTGACCATCTTCCCTGTAGAACAAAATGACTACGAAAGCGAGACACGCAGTATTTAACCACGGCCGTCCATATGCACTGCTATGTTCGTGTAGGTGCCAAGAAAGGCAATGGATAAAACATTAATGAGACACAAATTGATGCTTTTTCTATTCGCAAAGCACAACTGTTGATCAACGCATCACTACCCCCGAGTCCAGGAGACGGTATGTTGTCGTCTAATGGTGACAAGTCGCACCTTAATTAATAGAGCTAATTGCCTCGGCAGAAATCAATCCTGTGGTTAGGTGGCAGTACAGAGAGCCTGCAAGTGATAATGCTGCGGCAAGGTCGAGCTGGTTAGCTAGATGGTCTGTCTATTAGTAGAAATAAGAGACATGTAGATCAGCGATTAGAGCGGACAGATTTATAAAAGCGTGGTTCCTATAGATATTGGTCAGCATTAGCGACCCTGTGTGTGGGACAATCGTGACACGATATTGTTATAAATATAGCTATGAAGGTCGATATCAAGTTATTATTATCTCAAATCCCAGTGTTTATTGCTTGGTATTGAAGTCTGGGCCTTGTTAGATAGGTTGGGGGTTTGGAATTTGGGGGGTGGAAATTTGGAACTGGTTTGATTTGGTTTTGGAGTTTTGAGGTTGGAAACCGGTTTGGGTTGCGAACTGGTTGGGGTTGAGGTTGGGAATCGGTTGGAGTTGGGTTGGGGTGGGTGTTGAGGTTAGGATTCGGTTGGAGCGGGGTTGAGATTGAGGTTGGGAATCAGTTGGAGTTGGGGTTGAGGCTGGGATTCGGTTGGAGTTGGGGTTGTGGTTGGGGTTGAGGTTGGGATTCGGTTGGAGTTGGGGTTGTGGTTGGGGTTGAGGTTGGGATTCGGTTGGAGTTGGGGTTGTGGTTGGGGTTGAGGTTGGGGTTGAGGTTGGATTCGGTTGGGGTTGAGGTTGGGATTCGGTTGGAGTTGGGGTTGAGGTTGGGATTCGGTTGGAGTTGGGGTTGAGGTTGGGATTCGGTTGGAGTTGGGGTTGTGGTTGGGGTTGAAGTCTGGATTCGGTTGGAGTTGGGGTTGAGGTTGGGATTCGGTTGGAGTTGTGGTTGAGGTTGAGGTTGGAATTTGGTTGGAGTTGGGGTTGTGGTTGGGGTTGAAGTTGGGATTCGGTTGGAGTTGGGGTTGAGGTTGGGATTCGGTTGGAGTTGGGGTTGTGGTTGTGGTTGAGGTTGGAGTTGGGGTTGGAAGCTGGTTGGAGTTTGAATTTGGTTTGGTGTTGGCTGCAGAAGAAAATGACAATGAGAAGACACACTCTATATGTATCTATCGGGGTCCACAGGCACTGCAAGGAACGTGCGTTATAAAACACGATGGATAACACATCAATGAGATACATATTCATGATATGTTTCTGTTGGTCACAAGTGTTGGTCAACGGATCACTGCCCGACTCGCACATGGGAGTCCAGGAGACAGCATGTTGCCGTCTTGTTGTCATGGTGACCACGCGACTTTGGGTGGTTGTTTAGATCGACATTTAATGATTAACACGAAAAGCAAGAAGTGTAGATGAAATACCTAAGGCTTTCTTTCTCACCCCGAACTGTTGATATACCGACTCGTGAAGATCCGAGGAAGAATTGGTCTTCAGACACCCCTGCTTGCTGTAAAAGGCGACTATGCTTGTCGTAAGAGGCGACTAACGGGATCGGGTGGTCAGGCTCGCTGACTTGGTTGATGCATGTCATCGTATCCCAATTGCTCATGATGTCGATCACTGGATTGTCTGGTCCAGACTCGATTATGTACAGACCGCCGTAACATAGCTGGGATATTGCTGAGTGCGGCAATAAACAACAATTAAACAAACAAACAAACTTTATATACCATCTGCCTGTGACCATCAATGTGATGTCTGTGTGTGATAGAGACCGTGAGTCCAGCAATGACATCGAATACTTGGCTTTTTCCAGTTCACATTTCCTTCTTACATGACTTGGGCAAGAAAACAGGGGGCTCGAGTTGGCGGGCAAATATCACCATTTCCGGTTGCCACAACTAGTGCCCGCCAGTCCACACGAGTCCACGCTAGATGCCTCTAGTCCACGCTGGATCCTGCTGTTGCCGAGTTTCAAGTTCGGAGTTTCGAGCTCCAATGCATGATCCTCTGTTCATCCACATCAAACACTGTATGCATGGCTTCAAATTATCTGATAATTAACAACATAACCTGGACCATTCAACGTGATTATAAAAATCTGGAAGCCATAGGCACAGATATCCGCGATATTTTCCTTCTATTCGATCCGCCTATGGTCTAGTAGTAGAGCGTCTGCCCGGTGAGCGAAAGATCGGAGGTTCAATCCCCGGCCGCGTCATACCAATTGACGTTAAAAGATGGTACTTGTTGTTACTTTGCCTGGCGCTCGCATTAAGGGGCTAAAACAAGGACTGGTCGGCTCGGAGTCAGTATACTGTGTCTGAGTTGGGTATGGTATCTCAGTGTGCTAGCGCTATAAATCGGCATCATTCCGGACTAGAACACACACACACACACACACACACACACACACACACACACACACACACACACACACACACACACGTGTATGCTCGTAGCTATTTAAGTGCAATAATCTTGTCAGCGGCCTTAAAACCCATTTCACCTCACCTCACCTCGCCTCACCTCACCTTCTATTCGATGCGTCTCTCCTACACAAAACCGTCCATAGCCGGCCACGTCATGGGAAATCAGCCAATCAGCGGAGAATCTTCTCAAAGATTAATACCAGTAGCGCTATGTTATGCATATCTTTTTCTATGTCATTTCAGTGGACGCAAGAATTGAAGGGGGGGCAGTCGTCTAAGGCCCCGCAAGAACCTATAGTCGTGGGTTCGAATCCCGGTTCGCCCCGTTAATGTTTCTGGAACATTCTCGTGTTCTTGGATTTCACCAAAGTGCCTAAAACCTCTGATGACGTCGACCGCCTCCGTGGTCTTGTGGTAGAACGTCCGCCCGCTGAGCGGAAGGTCCGGGGTCGATCCCCGGTCGCGTCATACCAAAAGACGTTAAAAGATGGTACTTTACTTGTTGTTACCCTGTCTGGCGTTCGGCATTAAGGGGCTCAAACAAGGACTGGGCGGCTCGGAGTATTCATGTTAAACTGCGTCATGGTATCTCAGTGGGCTAGCACTATAAATCGGCATCAGTCCGGACTAGTACAAGCAGACACACATGTGCATGCACGTCGCTATATAAGTGTAATAATCTTGGATGCGGCGTTAAACCCCATTTCACCTCACCTCGCCGCTGATGACGTCACACTACAGTAACACAAGGTTCTTCTAAATGTTGATAAACATCCAAGGCAGGCAATATCAACAATGACCTGGGCGTTCTGGTGGAATGCCCGGGACCTGATGAATATATTTCAATCGTAACACCCAGGATTTCCAATTAACGCTTCATGAACTTACCTCATGAAGTGAACACAATTCAGCTTGATGATTGGTTAAAAGTCACAATTTCTTTAACATGAAAAATTCCATGACGTGATTAGAACCTGCAGCCTCACATGTCATGTTCAGATTTGAAACCCGTTGTTTTCCCGCTGAGCTACCGGGAAAGTTGATGAAAATTCGTTAAGTTTATCATGTCATGCCTCAAGCTAGTCCATGCTTGCACGTGTTTTTTCTGTCGCACGCTTTGAGCGAATTCCTTTTATACCGCGATACTCCGTATTGTTTAACTATAAGGTATGTCGATGTTTTCTTGTATTTCTTGCATTTTAGTCGGTTCATAAGTTGGATAAAACTTGCCTCCTCGGTTTTGGTTGAAAATGTTAAACCTTGACCTCACTCGCGGTTTTACATTTTCAACCAAAACCGATGAGGCGTCCTTTATCATATACATTAAGCTGACATGCCGTGATGTAACTGGAATACTGTTTAAAATGTTTAAACTGTTTAAACCCAACTCACTCACTCATTTACATGTGCCTAGCGATATGTGATCTCAGTGTCTAGGCCCAATATATCTACGCTTCTTGTGCCCAAGGGGGGCACGGGGGGCCCAGTCGTCTAAGGCGCCGCGATTCGCTGTGCAGAGTTGCGTCCCTTGGGCACGCCAGAAACCTATGATTGCGGGTTCGAATCCCGGTTCGCCCCAATTATGTTTCTAGGTTTGTCAGCACCATACCCATGCTCGTGGGTTTCACCGAAGTGGTAAACGTCTGAGGCCTGCATCACATCGGGCTTTCCTCCCACATTAAGCTGACACGCCGCGATATGACTGGAATACTGTTAAAAGCGGCGTTAAACCCAACTCACTCACTCACTCACTCTTGTGCCCAATGTGCCCCAAGCCCACCAAGCGCTACATGTACAATTCACCCAAACGCTTTCTGCCATGTGCCAAATTCGCGAGTTTCCTGCAATTCCTAAATAAATACGAACACTGGCCCAGCAGTTTGCAATCCTGTGTGTATTTAAAATCCTGTGTGTGTTTACAATCCTGTGTGTGTTTACAATCCTGTGTTTGTTCACAAAACTATGTGTTCAATTTGAGCCAGTGTTTGGTATCTTAGAAGGACGCTACATAACATTCGTTTTGTATATCCACATATTGCACGGAAATTGATCAGCATATTGTATAAATGGGAAAATGGTTTGCTTTGTGCATTATTCGTGACAATTAGAAAAAAAAATGTACATCAATAGATCTTGTTCTTCTTCATGCAACTTGATATTGACATATAAATGGATTGTCACATTACGTTCAAACACTGTAGATCCGCACGCCAATTGCTGCAGCACATCAAAACAAAGAACACATTACAAAGACGACCACACATGTTCAGTGCCCTGAGGAACTACTTAAAATATATGTTAAAAGAAGACACAAAGTCCAAACATTTATAACGACACTGTATAAATATGTATTCTTTACACCGAATCCATACTTAAAACTTTCATCTTTATCGGTCCACTAATGGATCCAATGTGTTTAAAGAGACACTCAACTTGGGGCAACTTGGAATCACATAGGTCTTTCAAACATTTAAATTGTATAACTAACATTTTATTGGCTGATCCATCAATAAATGATTCCTAAAGAAAATGTCAAACATGACACCACATCTTGACCTACCCTAACCCGTGAAGATCCGGGGTAGAATAGGTCTTCAGCAACCCATACTTGCTATAAAAGACGACTATGCTTTTCAAAAGAGGCGACGAACGGAATCGGGTGGTCAGGCTCGCTGATGGATGCATGTCATCGTATCCCACGTATTGCGTGGATCGATGCTCACGGTGTCAACCACTGGATTATCTGTCAAAACTCGATTTTTTACAGGCGGCCGTCATAAAGCTGGAATATTACTGAGTACGGCGTATAACAACAAGCAAACCCCAACAATGGCCACAAGTTGACTATCTTTCCTGTAGAACAAAATTACTCTGAACGCGATACACGCAGTATCTATCCATTGCAGCCCATAAGCGGGGTTAAACAACAAACAGACAGACAAACAAACAAATCTATCAGCATACTTTCTGGTACATCTCTGATACACTAGAAGGGGCACGGCTGGCTGTCTCAGGCGCAGCAATTCGCTGTGTAGAGTTGCGTCCCTTGGAAACCCAGGGTCCCGTTCTTAAAAACGATACAAGCGCTACGGCTGACGTAAGCCTATAGTAAAGTATAGGACTTACGATCATCTTAGCAATGAGGGTTCGAATATCAACTCACTCACTCTAATACCTCAGCTCCGTCCTTGTGTCCCGCTCTTTTAGCATAGGCCTCACTTGCACAAGACAACAATCGATAGTTACATTTGATTTTAGATGCTTACAATGAAAATTAAAATCACCATATCTATGTATTGGACCAACGGATCTTAGTGCGATCATAAGACGGATCAGATTTAAGATCGCAATCGTGACTGTGGTATCTGAAACACGACACCAACGCATCCATGTTTGTGGCTAAAGTATGACACCGAGGTATTCCATGTTTGTGGCTAAAGGATGACACCAACGCATCCATGTTAGTGGCTAAAGTGTGACACCAATGTATTCATTTTTGTGACTAAACTACGACACCAACGCATCCGTGTTTGTTACTTAATTAAGACACCAACGCATCCATGTTTGTGGCTAAAGTATGACACCAACGCATCCATGTTAGTGGCTAAAGTATGACACCGAGGTATCCATGTTTGTGGCTAAACTACGCCACCAACGCATCCGTGTTTGTTACTTAATTAAGACACCAACGCATCCATGTTTGTGGCTAAAGTATGACACCAACGCATCCATGTTTGTGGCTAAAGTATGACACCGAGGTATCCATGTTTGTGGCTAAACTACGACACCAACGCATCCGTGTTTGTTACTTAATTAAGACACCAACGCATCCGTGTTTGTTACTTAATTAAGACACCAACGCATCCATGTTTGTGGCTAAAGTATGACACCAACGCATCCATGTTAGTGGCTAAAATATGACACCGAGGTATCCATGTTTGTGGCTAAACTTACACCAACGCATCCATGTTTGTTACTTAATTAAGACACCAACGCATCCATGTTTGTGGCTAAAGTATGACACCAACGCATCCATGTTAGTGGCTAAAGTATGACACCGAGGTATCCATGTTTGTGGCTAAACTACGACACCGACGCATCCGTGTTTGTTACTTAATTAAGACACCAACGCATCCGTGTTTGTTACTTAATTAAGACACCAACGCATCCGTGTTTGTGGCTAAAGTGTGACACCAACGCATCCATGTTAGTGGCTAAACTACGACACCAACGTATTCATGTTTGTAATTAAACTCCGACATCAACGCATCCATGTTTGTGGCTAAAGTGTGACACCAACGCATCCATGTTTGTGGCTAAAGTGTGACACTAACGCATCCATGTTTGTGGCTAAACTACGACACCAACGTATTCATGTTTGTAATTAAACTCCGACATCAACGCATCCATGTTTGTGGCTAAAGTGTGACACCAACGCATCCATGTTTGTGGCT